AAATCAACAAACTATGAACCAGACACACACTTTGGGGGGCGGTGGGGAAAGGAGGCATTGGGGTCAAAATAAAGGGGTTGCAATTGTATGGAGAATATAAAAATAAAATTAAAAAAATAAAAAAAGAAAGTGCTAACTAAAATTTTAGCCTAATTTCTAACGCTTCAGAAAAACTAAAGCAGCTTCAAAGAAAATCACTAATGTCCACAGAAAGAGTGACAAGAATTTTTAAGGAAGACAATAATGGTGAATAACTGAATTGTAATTACTATTAGCTATCATGTTTCAGCTAATACAAATATAGCAGGAAACTAAAGCCTTTTGAAACAATAAACACCTCAGAATAATTTAAAAGAGTAAAATAAAAACTGAATCATTACCTTGAAAAGATAATTGCAATTATAAGTATGCATGCTGAGAAAAATTAGCAAAGCCATTCAATTATTTAGTCTCACACTCGCTTTGAAAACCTTTGAAAATTGGTGAGGTATTCATCAGTTTTCTTTAGCAGAAAAAAGGCCTATGTAATTTAGTTAATTACTAACATTGCATATTGAATAAAACATTTTTTTAATATGATACCCAAATGAAAATTTATTTTTCAAAGCTTTTTCTAAGAATGATTTAGGATTATGAAGGTGTAACTGCATGGGTCAGTTCTGTTAATGATAGCAACTGAGATTTTTAATTGCTTGGGAATGATAAAATATCTTTACCTTGCTCAATTGCAATTTACACACATTATGTAGTAAAATCATATATTGTAGCCAAGAAATATTCATAAATTTATGTTGGGGATTTTAAATAGTTGCAAATTCTACTATAGAAGTTTTATCTTTATCTCTAAATGAAAACTAATGTATACAGTACTTGAATATAGTAACAACAAATAAGAAAGCAATCTTTCAGTTACATATAATATTTACAAACACATATACACAATGTAGAATCAATAATCTGTGGAAATCCATAGAAATAACACATAAAGGGGATGTTAAAAATGTAGCAAATGTCAATGGGAAAGAGAATATCAGTCACTGGGAGTCAATCTTTAAGGTTCAAAATCCAAAGAATGTGAGTTCCAGACAACAGGTACACCTAAGACAGAGTTGAATAAATTTTAATACAATATATTTCTCTAGAATTGAGCAACAGAAATCTCCAGATAAAAAGGGGCCAAGTGAGCACCAGTCCAGTGAGTGAAAAGATTGATGTGCACCAGGAAATAGCACTGTGAAATTTTAGAACACTACTAATAAAGAAAATACCTAAAAGCATAGGGCGGGGGGAACCAAAACAAGCAAGCAAGAGAAAGTGACATGTGCACATAGGGAGGAAGAGAGGAGTGGGAGGAAAGGAAGAAGGAAGAAGAAAGATGGGATTTATTCAGTTTTAAGTAAAGACTTATGAGAAGCTATAAGCCATAAACTATAACCATGAAAAGGCTTAGACACCCCCCCCCATAGTCTTTATAGACCTAATAATGTTGGAAATACTTTCGTTACATATCAATCTGTTTCACCTGCTTGTTCAGATAAACAATCCATCAAAGTAATCAAAACAAATCTAATATTGCAAGTAATGAGTGACCTGTTAGAATATAAATTGATGACCTAAGCAATTATTAGTCCTATGATGCATATATTATAGCCAAAAAAATACTGGATTGTGGAATAATGGGAGTTTTAGTATAGTAGCCCCCGTTAATATTAATAGAAGTTTTGTATAGTAGTCATTGTTATAATATCTTCATCATTTGTTTAGCTATATATTCAAGTTTGAATAATTTCTTTGGAAGATATTTTGGAGGATTTGTGATTGCAGAGAAAGTTAATCTAATTTCTGGCTAAGAATGTTATCTATGCTATTTATGCCTGATACTTTGAGTGCTTGGAGAACAGAAGAGAGATAAGACAGATCCAGTTTAGGATTCAAGTATTCTTTTATTCTGTAAATATTTCCCCCATGTCCCTTGTCTAACCCCAGCATAATATGCCTGAACTCTCAATGTAATTTAAATATTAGCTGCTTTAAAAGATACGCTTTGTGAGATTAAAATAATGCCATTTTCTTCTTTAACAATGGCAACTCTCTTCCATGATGGATTTTCATATTTTCACATAGTAGGATTTAGAAGTAATCCCATGTTAAATATATTTGTTTTCTGTTAGAACATTATTTCCTTCAGTGACTTGGATTATATAGGCAAAGCAAATGCCTCCATTATTAAAAGTGATCCATTTGTATGTATATATCTGTTTTGTTATAATGAATCTCAAATGCACAAATCTTGGTAAATAACCCCCTGAGACTAAATAACCAACACTTGAAGTTCAGTCATGACAGGTCTTTGGATTGTTTTGATTTCTGAAAATGTTTTTCCTCTGTGACTTTTAATTTGTTTCTTGCTTAGTAGGACTTGCCCTCTTCCCCCTCCCCAAGATGAGTTGGAAGACTCTCCAAATGTAGTGTGTGCGTGTGCGCGTGTATGTGCAGGTGTGCGCATATGTGCGTGTGTGTGTTTAGGTTATATATATATATATATATATGGTTTTTTTTTTGCTCTTTATCTGTTGATTATTCATGTCTGGTTTAGAATACAGTCGACCCAGAGATTGAGGTTGCAAGTATTATATCTTTGCAAGATTCTAGAACAGTATTATAAAAGAAAATATTCTATTTTCCTTGGAAATTTAGATGAATTACACCACCGTTCTGAATCTGCACCTTTTGGTAGAGAAATTATTCAGCTGCTCTTAACAGAAACTACAGGGAAATTATAATGGAGACAGGGTAGTTGACTTAATCTCAGAAAAACAAAGCTGACAGAAAGTTATACCATTTGTAAATACTTGATATATAATTAGTTGCTTGTTTCTTTTATTGTTAATATCCATTCCCCATGACTAGACTGTAAGCTTTTTGAGTACTTTGTTTACGGATATGATTTAAGTGCTGAGTATATCTAGTCGGGAGTCCATAACAAGATACTCAGTAAATTTTGTCCATTCAATAAAAGAAGGAAATATTAAAAGTGATTTTATTTTTGTTGTGAATGGTTGTTTCTTTTGGGAGATTGAAAAGTTCTAGATAATATAATTATGTGTCTATCAGAATATTTTAGCATGTTTTGCTTGAGTTAGAAAAATTACACATAGGTATATGTGTTTCTTAGAAAGATTGTGCATTCTTTTGTTTTCTCCATTTGCTTTTACAACTTCATTTATTTCAATGCTGTCTTATTGGATTTGCTTTTGCAATCCATACAGAAGTATGGAGATAGAGGATAAGGTGAAAGAATGCAGGTGTCTTCATAATAACTATTCATATGTTGTTTTCAGAATCATGTATGTTATGAAATTGACTTTTTCCATCATATCTGTAGATATATTCAACTTCCTAAAAATACTAATCCTAAATTTAAAAGGTAAAAATAGAATTTCTACAAGTGGAGAAAATACATTCAGTTCCACAGTGTAATAAATCAGCTAGTAAACTTCCTCAGTTTAAAATAAGCATGTGTATTTTAATATAGTTGCATGAATTAAAGAGAAACATTAGCTTGGTTTTTGGTTTTTAATAATTTGTAGTAAAAATAAAAATGTGTTTTTTGAGCTCTTACTTGTTGATCCTACAAATGGCTATACTCTCTGTTGCCTTGATTTCTTTACAGTCTGTTTCTTCTTTAGGAATTGACTCATCCCCTTGGTCCCCTGTCACTTTTCCTTCCCCCTTTCTATAGCTGCTATCATGTTTCCAGTTTCACATACTTTTTGAAGATCTTTCTATACACTGTTCTGCTTTCCCCAGCCCTTAGGCAGAGCTCTATTTCAGCAGTGCTCTTGTAACCTCAATCAGAGCAGCAAATTTGCTATTTAGTCATTGACTTCATAACCCAACATAACTTTAAATAGTGGCAATTCTGAAATGTTTGTTAAATAAGTACATTTAAAATAAAGCAAATGGGTTATTTTTCCTGTGATTGACTTCTTTGGACATGAACCTTCTTCGTTGGGGGCACAAAATGTAGTATCTAAAGTTTGAATTCTTCCATTAGTTATTGGAATCACCTCTCAAGTCTTGAGTTTTTAAAAGGGGGAGAGAAAGGAGAATAAAGTAATGTAGGCATTAAGTATGGTAAAGGAAAATTGATGAAAAGAACTATGAGAAACTCATTATTTTGCATATTAAATTACCTCTCTATCAGAAATAAGTGAATTAAGTCAGAATACCCCTGTCAGACTTTCTTTTTTCAAGATTTGTTTCCGAGTTACAAAATACACAGAAATAAATATGACAGTTTTCTGTTTATTACTTTTCAAACAATATTAAGTTGATTGCTTTACTTTTCCCATAAGAAATCTGATGGCTGTCTTTTGGCCTAAAATATTTTAAAAAGAGTGAAGTTACTAATTAAGGAAGATATTGAAAAAATGAGAATCTGTAGTGCTCATATTACTCCTTGTGAACCTCATATGACTCTGAAAGACCTGGGCTGGAGTTCATGTGCATTGCTTATAAACATAAACTAACTAACACATCTGGAGTAGCTATGCCCCTCCTTCTCATTTCTCTTCACAACTGAGTTAATTTATACCCCTGTCTTTCATAGAAGAACCCCAAGAAGATATAGGCTTAGGTATCAATAGAAATAAAATCAAAATCGATTGATCCAGTCAAACTAAATATACAGGAAATGCTTACTTGTCCTCTAAACCTTTACTTAATGAAGAGAGATTATTTTTCAGGGTCTTAGGTAGATTTTTAGGTAAACTGGAAATTAAACTGTTACAAATTCTTGACTGTTGGATTAGTGAGCTTTGGTATCTAAATATAACTCCATTTGTTTTTAAATGGAGTAAGTTCAAAATTACTTTAGGAAAATGTTTCTGAAGATGTTATTGGATAGTAGGATTAGGGGGTGGAGTTGGCCTTAGAGAAATGAGTCATGTTAATAAAAAGGGCTTAAAAAAACAAATTCTTGCCTTAAGTGAGTATAACTCCAGAAGGTAGCACTGCCAAGGAATAGAAAAGCAAGATGAATGATGTGAAACTTGCTGTCTTGGGGGCTGAAGGAACAGGCAAATCTGGTGAGTGGTCGGTGATGTTTCCTATGGTAAAACTATAGAGCAAAAAACAAGTGAGAAATATGTTAAATGCATACGTAAATATATGTAGTAACATACCTTAACTTTGTATTAACTCATGCTCTCTTTCATCAGGAGTTTTCATATTTATAAGTAATTAATTTTATACTTATAGACTGTATAGATAGGCATACCAAGACAAGTGTTAATTTTTCTCTTGTTCTATTGATAAATAAAATCCATAGGAATCCTACCTACCACTGCAGCACCTCTTTCCGCACACCCATCAGTTGCCCAACAATGACCTTCAAAAGATTCTTCTGCCTTGAGACTAAGGGAAGATCTATGGATTATTTTTGTAAATGCAGCATTGCTAACTGAAAGAACTTGGAGGCCCATTGCTTTGTAAGATTCCTGGCAGCTGAGAAACAAGTGCTGTGACTTGAACAGCCATGTTTTGTTTATTTTATTTCATTTTGGTCACATTACTCTAGTGGTGAAGATGCCACCAGTACCACCTGAAACTAATTAACCATAACCAGTCCAGGAACTACAATAAGATAAACTTACATTAGATGTCCATTTCCTGTTTCCTGGATTTTGAAGGCGCTATACCCTTCAACAATTGCAAATGCTTATGTCTTTAACATATTAGCATATAGTACCTTGAAATCAGATTAAATTTGATAAAGAAAATAAAGAGATGTTATAGTTCTTGCATCTTAATGAGAAATCCCTTTCTGTTAAAAAAGGTAAGTTGCCTGATGTGTTTGCATTCATTAATTAATTACGACTGGGCAGCACGCCTAAGAGCATTTTCTTTCTAGCCTCCTAATCTTTATGACAGTGCAGTGAAAATCTTGCTGACTGGTATTTAGAGCAGAATTCAGTAAAGTTTTAAGGTCTTCTTAATGCTGGGTAATTTTTGAGCTGTAAGATAAAACCTTGCTGTGTCCTAATTAATTATCTGTCCTTACAGAAAAGACCCTAAATCCATCTTTTTTTTACTTTGCAGCCCTTATAGTAAGGTTTCTTACCAAGCGATTCATTGGAGAATATGCTTCTAATTTTGGTAAGTCACTACTCTAGGCTTTCTTCACCTTAAAAATCATCAGCATAATTAAACCACAATTAAGATCAGTGAGGCAGCATTTTAATAGAATCCTTCCCTTTGTGCATGTGTAAGTAACTTTTTATTCATAGATTCAGGTTAGAGATTCCAAAATAAATACTTGAATTGATTGTTATTTTATAAAATTCATCCAATTTGATGTTAACACAAACAAATTAGAAATTAGTTTTTTCTCAGAAATTATTAAAGCTGGGGTTCTCTCCCCCAAATATTATAAAACAAATTTGAAATTAAATCAACATCTATTGAAAGGTAAGGACAATTTTTGTTGTAAAATCTTGTGAAAAGAATAGGAAAATTATGCTTTGACCAAATATCGTTTCATAATTATCTAGGTTGCTTATGTAACTTTCAGAAAAATTGTAAAATAGATGCCAGGGCATGTTGGTTGAATCTTCAGATCGTTTCACTATCTCTACTATAAATTTCTGTTATTTTGATCAGAATTAACATGACATATGGCAAGTACATGGCATTAAAAAGTGGGCAATTTTGCCAGAGTTTTGAGTATATTTTTGGATCAGCAATAAATATATGTACTGGGACTATCTTACCTGATTGGATGAATGGAGAAGAAAAGTTTTCTTTTTTAAACAAGAACAACAGACTTATAGGAAATATATATAAGAATTGGGAGGAAGGGGAATGATCTTTTTGTTCTGTAATATTTATTTAGAGTAAGAGGTAGTTACAGTTATAAAAAACAGCAACAACAACAACAAAATCTTGAGCACTTATTCATGAGGTAGCATTACTAGAGTATTTCAGAAAATATTGCTGAAGCATTGTCCTGCACTGTTTCCTACATGTGCCCAACAGTATTATAGTCCATTCAGTATTGTGAATATTTTAGGGCAAGTGCTGATTATAAAAAAAAGAAAGACAAATTCCTATTGTTCCATTTCTAGGTCAGTATAATCTTAGTCAAAAGCGTTGAGTTAACACACAAGCTAGGAGTCAGTCATGAGAAAATGTTCCAGAACTGAAAAGCAAAATAAAGCAACCTGAAAAAAACATCAACAGCAACAACAGATCACCTTAATTTTTTATAAAATATCTTTTTAATAGAGATGTAAAAGACAGAAATGTGTAAACATTTCATTGAGACTTGAGACATTTTAAAAAGACAAAAAAATGACTGAAAGTCACCAGTGTGTGAAGACAGTCTAGCAAAATAAATGACACCATTTTGGAACTGAAGGCTGAGGGGAAATAATTGAATTCTAAAAAGTTAAGAGCTGGTGACCCCTGTTGGCAGTTTTTGAAATTTGCACATGGATATTCTGTGAATATCTGCTATATCTGCTATTAGGTGGTACAGAGTATTTTTCAAAATAGGTAATGATTTTGTGTCTGGATGCCATTTTGTACAGAAGAAAGAAAGAATTTTGTCAAAAGAATGGGATAACAGTTACAGAGAATAATTAATTAGTTAATTCAACAAATATTTATTGCGCACCTACCATGTCTCAGGTAGAGAGGTAGAGAGATGAAGCAGTGAATCAGAAAGACAAATATATCCAATCCTCATACATTTTACAATCTGGAAGGAAGTCAGCCAAAAATTAAAGATTAATTATGTCATATGATGATACCTGCTATAAGGAAAAAGAAAATAGCAAGGGAGAGTGGCACTAATAAAATATATGGGAATCTAAAATCAGGTGTAGACATTGGTGAGGAGGCGACATCTGGACAGAAACATGAGATAGTAAAGATTGAATCATGAAGCTATCTGGGGGGATACAATCTAGGCAGAAGAAATAATTGCCCAAGTTCTGAGGCAGGAACTTTCTGAAAAAATTGAGAAATGTTGTGGAAGACAGAGTAGTGTAAGTGGACAGGATCTGAGAGGTAGTAGCCAGAAAAGGCCACCTTTTGGGTGACTAGATGATGAGGGACATTCTCAGGCACTTTATAGACTTTGGATTATCCTGGCAAGAGGGAGAAGACACTTTTCATATATATTGAGAAAATATAAGGGAAATAGGAGTAAAATAACACAGATGAGTTAAAAGTCTTTTTAATAATCTAGATGAAAAGTAATGATGGCTTGGACCAAGGTGTTAGCAATGACAGTAATGAGAGATAGACAAATTCAAAATATCCTTTAAAGGTAGCATGAGAAAGAATTTTTAATAGAATAAGTACAGGATGTAAGGGAAAGAAAGATCTAGATGATTTCTTAAGATTTTTTAGTCTGAAAAACTGGAGTTATGGATTTGCCTCTCAATGGAATGGGAAACTGTGAAAGATTAGTCTTTGCAGGGAGATCAGGGGTTCACTTTTAAATATGTTAAGGTTGAGATGTGTGTCAGATATCTAAATGAAGATGTCTACTAGGAAATTACTAGTGACTAGAGTTCAGGGAAGAGGTCTGGTATATAAATACAAATTGGTTTTTCTCAGTAGTTGGTAGTATATAAAGGCTTTTGGCAGTACAGCAATCAGCAAGGGAGTGGGTGTTGATTGAGAAGAGATACTGGAACTAGATCATGTTTGGAGCATGGGAAGCTATAGTGGGACAAATAAAAAAAAGATTGATATGGAGCAACAGGAGGATAAAGAAAAAAATGAGTGTATGAACTTGAAAGCCATGTGAAGGAACATTGTCAAGAGTCAGGAGTGACCAACTACATTAATGCTGATAAGGCAATATCAAGACAGAAGTGATCCTTGAGTCTAAAAACACAAATATTTTTTATTTTATTTTATTTTATATATTTTTACATCTTTTTCATTTTTGTACAATGTATGCATTTTCACCTCGATTTTTGGTCCCTGTGAAATTCCCACCACCCATTCATTCACCTGTGACCTATCACTGTGGTCCCTTGTGCAGTTTTAGACAAGTTATTGTTGTTAAAGCCTGACTGGAATAATCTAAAAAGCATGGGGTGAGAGAGAAGGGACACAAAATGTAGATACTTCCCACAAGACAAACAGAAAAATAGGGAAAGAATTGAGATTGTGGGACCGAAAAGATAATTAAATTAGAAGAAATTCAGCTGTTAGTAATTATATAGTAAAGAAAGATTTATAGTTCAGAAGAGAGAGGTAGCACTGGTAGTAGCATGTCATTCTAGTTGATAGTGAATTGGTTGGCCTTAGAGGGAAACACAGCATTAATCCATAGTACTAGGCTGGAAGACAGCTATATAAATACAAAAACATGGGGGTAAAAGTTATGGTAAAGTTCATTTATAAGAAATATATATGAACAGTATAACAAATGCATGCTTTTCAAACACTGGTTGTAAATAAAAGCCATTGTACCACTCCATTAAAATATGTTTGATTGAATTTGCCATACTGTAATCTAAATTTGAGTTCTTTATTAAACTTTGGTTTGTTTCTGTACAGATAATGAAAATATGCATATTTTTCAGAATCAATCTATAATAAGCATTTGTATCTGGAAGGAAAGCAACTGAATCTGGAAATATATGACCCTTGCTCTGAAGTAAGTAAATACTTAAGTAAGTAAAGCAAAATACTAATAATTTTATTCATTTGTGATTTGAAGAAAATATATGAGGAGTTAAAACTAAAGTTTCGGCACTCCCTGGTGGCACAGGTGGTTGAGTACAGCACTGTGAAACCGTTTGCAGCCTCTGCAGTGCTGATTCGATCCCGGCTGGCTAGGGAGAAGCCCACATGGCATGGCAGTCCTCTCCTGTCGCGCCCGCTGCTCCCCTCAGCAGTGTATTTCATCAGTCTGCCTGTTCTATTCCCCATTCTATCTCTGGTGAATCCTCTCACCCTCCCACACATCTGGTCTGTACCCTGATTCTTGATTAAATAAGTAAGTAAATAAATAAATCTTAAAAAATAAAAACAACCTAAAGTTTCCCCTCAATTTTAATTATTTAAATTTTAAGAGCTTATTTTTAATGTTGTAAATTCCATTAGTTAACTTCTCTGTAAAGACACAAAAAAATGAAGTTTCATATATCTTTAAAATAGCAACATTAGGATATATTCATATCATTTTTCTATCAGGTCACATTATACCTCAGATGTTAATAGTTGAATGGCTTATCAACTCAGTTTATATTTTCACTAAGTTGTATTTGTGACTAACCACTATGAGCAAAGCATAGAGTACATTTTAAGTACAGATTCCTTTTTTCACTCAGTTACAAAAAAATTAAAATAGGATGATAAAAATAAGAGAAGGAATTACCAGTTGTTCAAAAGAACTCCATGTAGGGGCCTTTCTGATGGCTTAAGGGGTTAAGATGCATCCTATAAAGCTGTCTGCAGCCAAGGCAGCATGAGTCCGATCCCCAGCCAGGGAGCTACCCACATGGCACAGCAGATCTCTCCTGACTATTTCAGTCAATCTGCCTGTTCTGTTCCCCACTTTGTCTCTGGTGAATCATCTTACCCCTGCAACTCTGGCCTGTATCCCAGTCCTTGCATGCATAAATAATGTTTTAAAGATTTATTTATTCATGCATACAAGAACCGGGGTACAGGACAGATGTGTGGGAGGGTGAGAGGATTCACCAGAAACAGAGCAGGAAACAGAACAGGTGGGCTGACTGAAATACACTGCTGAGGGGAGCGGTGGGTGAGACAGGAGAGGTCTGCTTCACCATGTGGGTATCTTGCCAACCGGCAGGGATAAACTCTTACTGCAGAGGCTGCGGATAACTTCACAGTGCTGCGCTCAACCACCTGCGCCACCAGGGGAGGCCCTAAATAAATAAATTTTGAAAAAAAGAACTTCATGTTACAGTGTCTTTTAGATAATTAAAACATCCCTTAAAAAATCTTTTTAGCTAAACCCTATATTTTTTTACTGATTTGAATCTAATTCCAAAACCAATAGATATTCCATTAGTAATATAGATAGATACTATAATAATTTTCAAAGGAAATATGTGGATATTAATTCAAAAGGAAATTTATCACAAATTAGTAAAGGTAGAGATAGTATTTCTAAAGAGAAAAGTTATAAAATGAGATATATGTAACTTTACTGTAGTTCCTGTATGTCCTAAAACCTTAATCACTTAACAAAGAGGGTAAAAAGGAAGGGAAACAAAGAAATCCATTTTTGTAAACATTAGTATTTGGCTTATTGAAATTTCTTCCATGTGAAATTGGTTTCCATTAATTGTCTAAAGTGTAAAATACAGGTATCAGATCCTACCATTTTCAAAGTGCTTGCTTTGTTTTCAGCCACAGAAAGCAAAATTTTCCCTCACAAGTGAACTGCATTGGGCAGATGGGTTTATTATTGTGTATGACATCAGTGACAGGTCTTCATTTGCTTTTGCAAAAGCACTGATCTACAGAATCCGAGAGCCACAAAGTAGTCATTGTAAAAGGTGAGATACTTTTCATTCCTCTCCTCTTTTTCTTTAGTAAATCATCATGTAGCTGTAAGCATCATTAGGAAGAGTTTAATACAGACTTCCAATTACAAAATTTAACAGCCCTGAACAATTCACCTTCCATTCCACAGGAGTTACACATGTAGTAAAAGGAATAAGATGAGAATGCTTTATATCCTGGATGACATAAACAGTTACTTGCCCCGAGTAAATGGCTATTTTACAAGACAGCTTCTATTGTTAACATGACACTCAGCAGCAAAATAATGGTTCTCTGTGCATAAGATAGTTAGCTTTCCAACCTTTCCTTTCATTCCCTCAAAAATGTAAAGGATACTAAATAAATCCAGATTTATTACATTTGGCATCCAATTCCTAGCTATTGAGTTATTCAGTCTATCAAAGCAAAATAGACTTAATTCTAAATATGAAAATACAATTTTCTACACTTCACCTCCTTAAATAGCTGATCAACAATTCCTTATTGTTAATTACCTTGAGACAAGTAACTATAAAGGAAGACATATCTGTACCTTAAACCATTCTGGCACTCAGATATGTTTAAACATAGGAATTTCCCATTTTAGTTTTGCTTATGTTTTAGTCTTTTTCGTTTGAATATTTGGTTTTCTTCAGCATGCTGATGGAAAGGATTCTTTGTATTCTTAGGCAGTTTTGCTGTTAGAGTCTAAAATACATTCTACTTTAGAAAGCAAAAAAGCACAGTGTTATTACTGACAATTGGTATATGTGTTTTTTATATCAATTTTAAATGCCCACTATCTGAAACCATCAGAAAATAATTGATAAGGAGTATTTCCCAAGAAACAGTTGATGTAAATTCCTGTTTGTATCTGATTGTCCTTAGGTAAAACTTCTTTACTCTTCATGTCTCATTTCCTAATTATGTACTGATGGAATTTCGGAATCAGGAGAAAAGAATGTGGGTCTACTAAAGTACTTTATAATTCTGATTACCTGTAATAATGCTGATTTTTAAAAGAATTGCAGCGTTTCAATCATTAAATGCCTTGTCTTTAAATACTATGACCTAGGTTAGATACACTAATGAAATTCCTTTGAAATTCTTCCAAATCAAAAGCAGCACTCAAAAATACTTGAAAATTGAAAATGGAAATCTGTATTTGAAATTTGGAGACAATCTTCTTAATTTACTCAGTACATTTTTGGAATATTCCAGTTTTCAGTCTGTAGATAAACTAGGAAAGCAAAATATTGTTTAATAAAATCTAGTATTTGTGACTCAACCTTCTAATTATTTCATTTACCATTCCCGATTGACCTTTTACAGTAATTGTGGGTGCTGTATAGATAAAATTATTACTGATATCATCAAAAGTCCAGAACATACAGTGCTTTTTTCCCCTCCTTGTTCATGCTGCCGTGTAAATGAAACCACCTCTTATTGGAATCTGGGGACAAGATCCCTTTAGATAGAGTTTCAGACTTGTTATTATAACCATTACTCCCTCCTCCCCTTGCCCCCACCCTGTAAATATCCTGGCAGAATTCCATGCCATTTAAGAGGTAGGGGTCTTACTATACTCTTCAAATGAAAGTTAGCTTTAAGGAGTTTCACTCTATTACAATATTTGGTACTGGTATCTAAAAACCAATATTTGGTATTTGCTGGCGATATTACTAAATGTATTTTCTAGATAAGCAGAAAGATTGTACAAGGTCATGAGATTGTAAAATTTTCTACAGAACATGTTTTATGGATATTAACAAGGTATAGCAATGAGTATTGAGTCATATTTTTCCTTAGGAAAATTATATCTAGATTTACTGTTCAATTGCAGTAACTGTTCAGTAAAGAGACATTTATTATTTGTTGTCTTTCAACTGCTAAGGAAGTGAAAAATAACACTTAGTAAGCATTTTTCATTATCAGGCCTTATGCTTCGTACTTTTATCTACATTAGTTCATTTAATATCTGTGAGAATTCTGGTTGAGGAGAACTATTTTACCATTTTTTTTATATGTAAGGAATCTGAAAGTAGGAAAAGTACTAATCATGCATTGCTAATAAAAAGAACCAGAATTCAAGAGGTTTGTGTCACTTTATATCCTATCCTTTCAGAACCTGTCGCTTCCATGTCATTCCATCAAAAATAATTTTTCTAAGTAATAGGGGTTATCTGTCATTACACATATACACATGACCAAAATTAACACATGCTCAATATTTTTTCTCTTTGTTTTATAATCCTTGTCGTATAAGCTTATTTAATTAAAAAGAAGTTAAAACAATCTTGCTAAATAATTGTGTATCTGTATTTCAGAACTGTGGAATCAGCAGTGCTTTTGGTTGGTAACAAGAAAGATCTCTGTCATGTGCGAGAAGTTGGCTGGGAAGAAGGGCAAAAACTGGCCCTGGATAACCGATGCCAGTTTTCTGAACTGTCTGCAGCAGAGCAGTCTCTAGAGGTAGAAATGATGTTTATCAGAATTATCAAGGACATCCTGACAAACTTCAAACTCAAAGAGAAGAGACGACCCAGTGGATCTAAATCAATGGCCAAATTGATCAATAATGTATTTGGAAAGAGAAGAAAATCTGTTTAGTAGACATGTGATCCTAGGGGATTTATTATATTAGAGAGTTTCAAACATACACATGATAATTAAATTTACCCTTTGTACATAATTATTTTTTCTAAAAATCCTCATAGTGATATGAAATGATTGAATATGAACCACAGTTGTGTTTTCAAACACATAGTTTACCTTCTTGTTTTTTTTTTTTTTTATCTTGTACACTCTGCTACACACTTAGCCTTTTCTTTATCACACAAAGTAACATTTGGTATAGCATGTTGTTGGGTTGCTGTCCAGACTACTGCCTTGCCAAATAAATTGTTTATAATTTATGAAACTACTTCATAGGCTTCGATTTATTTTTAGTTTATATATTTCTCTTGGATGAAATATGTGATAATATTCAAATAGTTAATATATTATAGTATTTATCAGTTTGTGAACATTCATGAGCTATTTAATAGAAATGCTTGCATTTAATTTTTAAGCCTTTGCAACAATCCAGTAGGTTATTTGATATTGCACAAATTTTACATATTATTTAGGCTTTAAGTTAAATTTCTTGTCAATAAGTAGTTGATCTGATGATGAAAAAAATCTGCCTTTCCTTATGTAGTAGACTAATAATACAAAGAAAATAACTTATACAGATTTAACTTTTTATATAAAGCTAAGTCTTTTTTTAGTTCATAGAGAAATCTATATATTTTAGGAAAAAACAAAACAAAACAAAAAAAAAAACACCTGGTTGCATGTATATAACCTGGAAGGCATTATTACCCTGAGAAACATACTGTACTAGATGAACAGTTTGGGCCTTCTCAGATTACTTTGAATACAGTTTCTATCAGGAGAATGATGCATACCTCCTAGTCTTCAGCACCACTTGTAGCTGGCTTGCCTGAGCCTATTGCCTGCTATATTTCAAGTTGCAGTCCTAGGCCTGACTTCAGCCACATTGCTGTTAATTAGGTTAGAGCTCAGAAAAAAATTGGGAAAACAAGCAGTGTTGCACACTCATGGTTAACATGTGTGGGCAAGAACCTGCAAACCAAGGTGAAGATTATCTTGGCTGGCAGACTAGTGTGGGCAGGGGTGGCATGGAGTGTTAGGCTGGATAGGAGAGAATTCTTTGACATGTGTTACTCACCAGAGTTGTGAATCAGCATCTTAGGAGCACAATCTAGGGCTTGTCTATGTAGCCTTGCTATTCCTTACAAATCTGATCTTGATGATACATTAGAGCAAGACTAATAGTTACAACAGAACTTTGTGTGGTACTACACAAATATATAGATCAGAACATTCAAAACAATAAGGGAGTTAGAATTAATCTGGCATGTTGCATCCAAGAATCCTCATCTGATTGTGTTCCCTTGAACAATTCAGAAGAATGTGGTTTACGAAGGAAATGAGGAATGCCCTGGTGAGTGGGCACGGACAACTCTGAGAAACTTAATAGTTGACTTTGATTTGTAGGTCAGAATTGACAGTGGGAATGCTGCCATCAGATTAGCTCGTCAAAATTAGTGTAGATGAGAGTCCTGCAACAGCAGAACTGTTATCCACCCACTCAGCCCGCTCCCCCCAACAAAAATAATGGTGCCATTTCCAGGGTAGAGGTTCTATGTCTGATTCTGACTATTGAAAACTTAGAAGTGACCAACTTAATTGAAGCGAAGTCCAAGTTGTGGACGCTTGCATCACTTCAATCCCTGCTATGGTCACTGTTATCGTAGTCCCATTTCATAAGCACAAAGGGAACACAAAAAAAGAGGTAAGGTGTTATCTATAGGACAGGTCCAGATGATTATAAAGTGACTTTCTTTGGTAGATGCTCTGTGATGGGCATTACATCATACTCAAAGAACTGTATATTTTATGTCCTCCATGAGAGATCCATTCTTCAACACGGTTTTACAAGTCCTCTTTGATCTTTATTTTCTGCTCTTACCTCTTACAGATCTCTGACCTACTGGAAAAACCACTGATCACTGCCTAGAAATCTGTGCATGCCACCTTTTTTACCATATCAGGTAGAAAGCAAAATGTATTTCTTGAAGTTCTAGCAAATAGGATACTTTTCTTCTACTAATGAACTTCATGATTATTCTGTGTAAAAACATAGTGGGTGTACTCTGTCTCCTTTTTGACCAGCACTAGTCCATCAAGCTTCAGTGAAATGGTTTCCTGTCAATAAAGAACCTTCAGACTAAATTGCAGTTTAAATGAGAAACCTTTATTGCATAGTACTATTCTAACAAATTCAGTGATAACATTTTTAGTCAATTATTTGTAGGGACTTTATTCATCAATTATAGTTTCAATATTGATTTTATTTAAATGTTAGTTTAAGCACTTGTAATTTAATTTTTTTTTAGTATTTTCCTGGATGATCTCACTTTCTTGGATTTTGTCTTTAATCTTTAAAACTTTTCCAGTTGAAGATCCTTCAAGGGGTGTTTTGTATTAAAAACAACATGTTTATCCATGTTATAATGAAGAACTCTACCATCAAAATGGTGTTAAAATTCTTTTATAGTAATCATGTGTATGTACCTGTGGTAAGTCAGAGATCAGAATTTCTCTGTTGAGGATTTTACTTATATTTGTGTATATTTTAAAACTCTATTTGTGACACTGATTTTTTTCTTAGCAAGATGACTTAGGGGCATTGTTATATAAACTCTATGGAACATAATAAAAAGAACAAGCATTCTCTCACACGCAGAAATGGCTATGAGAGGTGATAGGTATGTTAGTTAATTCAATTTTGGTAATCATTTCACAATAAATATGTATATCAAGTCATCTTGTTTTATACATCATTTATATTGCAGTTTTGTCAATTATGCCTCATTAAAGCTGAGGTAAAGCCACTTTCACTGATGTAAAAATATATAAAATAAAAAAAAGAAAATGACCAAAAAAAAGATTGACTCTGAAAAAAAAAAAAAAAAACACGTTGTTTTTGATACTCCTTCCAAGAAAAGGTTGAGTCTGATTCTTCATTATTCTTGTTGATTCTCTTTTAATAAATGGAATGAGGTGGACATAATGGGTAAGAACTTCTGAGGCCAGGTTAGAAAAGATGACTGGTGACTGCTTTGTGGGCCATGAGTCAATGTTTGTGAATCTGGCTGTCCTAAAGGCACCAGGTTCAAGGTACCACGTGGTGTTTGGGATGACACAGACAACAGATAGATGTCTCAATCTTCAGGTGATTCTAGCCTCTAACCTTAGGACTACCTAACTGGTGCCATGAGGAACAGAAATGAGTTCCTCTTGTAATCTTGCCTCACTTGCAGATTTGTAAGCATAATAAGTGTTGCTATTGTTTTGAGGTTGGTAAACCATTATGTTTTGGTTTGTTAGATCACCAGAACATTTAATTCATTAAAGCCTTCAGTGTTTCAGCCAATGTGAAATATTTGACTTTTATTTTTTAATTGGAGAAAAACACGGTAAAATAAGGATTTTTCTGAACAAATTCAAAAATGTTAGATCAAGTTGTCCCAGTGTCAGATTTCTTGTGAATATAATTCATAGGTGAAGCAACTTGTACTAACCTAAAAAGGAATAAATTGCTGCTTTCCAAAGTGAGAAAAAAAATACATCCATTTAGAGAGAAACAAATCTATCAACATTAGACCACAGAATGTTGCAGGTTGAGGGTAGCAAGTATGTCTATAAATCTCAGAGATACTTCAGCTGTATCACTAGGCTAGGAATTGCCTATGCTGCTTCTACTAAAAAAGATGCTGTCATTCACTGTCGATGAGCTTCATTGAGATAACACATAACGAGGGGCAACAGCTGAGGAAGGGAATGCCAAAGGGGAGGGGCCTTTAAGATCGTTTTGATTTAATACAAGGCATGCACTATTAATAAAGAAGTTGAATGATACCTGTATGTTTTATAGGTTTATAAATTGGCTGTTGTAAAATATTTTACATCTTAGATCACTAGGTATTGTTTCAGCTTATTATGGGAGATATCTATCTAGAGTTGACTGAATTGTATTAATCTGAACCTAGTTTAATGATGCCTTAACATTTTTATGGGAGAATTTAATGTTTGCAATATCCATGTTCCTTATTTGAAAGCGTGACTTATAGGTTTCTTATCTTCCTTAAATTATGAAATCCTTCAGCTAATAAAGGAAAATGATTATAGTTTGCAAAAAAGGCAAAGTTATTTAACAATCCATATAACTGTCTATTGTAGGACTTTGCATAATAATTGTAATTTAGCTATTAGAGGTTTTAAAGGCAGTTATCAGTCATATTCAACAATTCGGGGGGAATTAGGCAAAGTCCAGATTATTTAAAGTATTTTAAATTCCTAAAGAAAAAAAAAAGACACACTGTAAATTGGAAATGTACTCTATAGTGACAAGATACTATTTCAAAGCAAAAAAAGAATGTTCTCATAATTTTCAAATATATAAACCACCAAACAGATTATTTTACTTCCTTTTGGATAGAGATTTAATGTATACTTATTTTTAATAACAGAAATATAAATTATTCTAAGAATGGAAATTAGCAGACTGTAAAGTGCCCATTGCAATGTAGAATTTGACGGCAACATTTTAGTAATCCTGGAACAATGAAGACTTAAAGAATTAAGAAAAAATAGAATGGAAATTACAGGAAAATAATGGTGGAATTACTTTTTATTATCTGAAAGGATGACCATGGTTACCTCTCTCATTTTCAGATGATTTTTATAGAACTCTATATGAGTACTTAACTACTAGATACATGGAAATACTCAAAATACAAGTGAAACTGATATTTTCTCAAGTTACAGATTTACTTTTCAGCTAATATTTGGGATTGCAAAGTTTTGGGGTATATTTATTGCAAACATGTCTGGCTATTAAAATTCTTGGGTTGAGTTGGAGGTAGAATGTTCAATTTATACAAACAACAATTTTTTTTAAATTTCATATATATTTTACATCATTCTTCCTTTTTGTACAATGTATGCTTTCTCCTCTCAGGTATAGTTCCTGTAAAATTTCCACCAATTCACCTGTGCACAATCACCATAGTCCCTTCTGCACTTTCCTCCCCTGTTTTGATCCCTCTCCCTCCTCTGCATTTTTAAAAATAGTTCCTTGACTTAGATCAGAAGATTTTGGGACCTTAAGTAAGAGAAGTCTTTATTTTACTCATATGTTCCACAACAGGAGAGGTTTTGAGCAAATTTGCCCAAAAAGTAATTTTAAAATTATGGGCTTCGATCATTCTAAATAACTGTTGTTTTTCCTTTTAGCATTGTTTAACGTTAAGCATGTTTGCCTCAAGCAAATAGATGCATGCATGTTTGTGTGT